AATGGCATGGACATGGGTTTTGGAATAGGCATTGGATTTGGGTTTGGAGTAGGAGCCGGTGGAGGCTCAAGCAATGAAGGCAATAAAAGTGGTGGCAATGATGATCCTTGAAAGCTTTGTTTTATTACAAAAACCAAAGTGAAACCAAGTCCAGAGAACCTTATTCTTTTTAGCAAAATGAATAGTATTATAAAGATTTGTATTTTCATCAAAGTTTCATGTTCCCAGGTCAACATGACTTGAATTTTCTCCCAAATAAATGTAACTTTCTTGATATATTGGGCAATCAACATGGTAATTGAGGATTCTTCCCTTCCTCCTTAAATTGACAAATATTGTCTTTCACTATTATATAAAAAATTTCCTAGCTATTTTTAATGAATAAAATTTCCAGTAATTGAATAAGGAAATTCAATTCCCATATGTTGTCATGAAAGTTGAAACTATATAACATTTTATTATGAAAAAAAAAAAACCTTTACGCATATATGGAATGGCCAAAGTTGGGCTAGTCTAGCCCAAACTGAGCCCACTTCGTCTACTTCAACGGGGAAAACGGCTGCAAAACCCTCAGCCGCCCGCGCCTAGACGAACCTCCCTTCGTTTCTGTTTCCCACTTTGCTACGCTGCCTAAACCCCTACTCCGAGTTCGTACCGAATCAACTCACCACCGTAGCAATGGCGGACGTGGTACAGTACCGTCTGGAGCGCATGACGAACGAGCTCGATGACCTCGAGCGCCGCGGCCTTTTCACCCGCCGAGAGATCGCCGAGATTGTCAAGCAGCGCCGCAAGTTCGAGTACCGCCTCAAGCGCCCCTCTCCTCTCAAGCAGGACTTTATTGCCTACATTGATTATGAGTCTCGGCTTGATGATCTCCGACGCCTCCGCAAGAAGGCAGCTGCTCGTGAGCTCGAACGCGAAGGCAAGAAGAGGATTAAGATGAAAAATTCCATTTCTGATTATGCAGCGATTACGAGGATTGTGGAGATATATAGGCTCGCGGTGATGAGGTATAAAGGAGATATTGAGTTGTGGTTTAGATATCTTGAGTTCTGTAGACAAAAGAGGAATGGAAGAATGAAGAAGGTAAACCTTTTTCTTCTGATTGCAGTAAACCTTTTTTTTTTTTTCCTTTCGTTTATTTTTTAAATCTGTGGCATGTTTGGATGTTGGGAAAGTGCTGGAATTGGTAGGAAATTCCTAAATTTAGTTTTACTTCTTTCTGAGTAGCGAGAATTAGGATTACTGTGAAAAACTTCTTTTGTACTTGAAGCTTACAGTCAAAGATTTGGCCTTTCTGCTTTCTAATTCTAACGGTGGCTGCTTTTTAGAAGGTTGTTTTACTTTTTAATCATTGTGGGAGATAGCAATTGCTACTGTTACAATCATCTGTGCATGCTCTCGACTGTGAGTTTTTGGTACTCAAAGCCACCTAATGATCAAAGTTTTGATGTATTAGGTTTTGCAAAAATGTGATTTCTTTATTGCATTTTCATTGCTACTAGTTGTTGATATGCCATATTTGCTTGGTTTGTTACAGACTCATATTTCTCAACAATTTGCAGGTCCTGGCTCAAGTGATTAGGTTTCATCCCAAGGTCCCGGGTGTTTGGATTTATGCAGCAGCTTGGGAATTTGACCATAATTTGAATGTTGCAGCTGCCCGAGCTCTAATGCAAAGTGGTTTGAGAATGTGCCCAGGTTCAGAAGATCTTTGGGTAGAGTATCTTCGAATGGAGCTCACATACCTTAACAAGCTAAAAGCTCGTAAGGTTGCTCTTGGTGAGGATAAGGGAACTCTGGTTCGAGATCGAAAGGATACAGTTGAAAATCAATGGAGAGAGGAAAATGAAGATTTATTCATGTCCCTTGATGAAGAAAGGGGAAATAATGATGGAACAAATGAAGAGACTGAGAAGAATGTGGATTTGTTTTCAGAGCATGGTTCAAGCATACTACAAACCATATATTGGGGAGCAGTTAAGGCACTTCCTTCAAGTTTTAGCCTCAGGAAGCAGTTTCTTGAGATATTGGAAGCAATAGAGTTGGCACATTCAGATGATTTGCGCAATGAGATATTGAGTGATATGAAGAGAGACTTTTCAGCAGATCCAGGATATTGGGAGTGGCTTGCAAGACTTGAAATGCCTGATCCAATATCTACAGGGGTGAGCGGAGAAGATTCAAACCCTCCTCAATTTGAACAAGCAGTTCAGGTATTCAACCATACAGCCAATCATGTCAACCATTTGTGGTTCTTATTGCTAAATTTCCTACATGTTGCTATTAGCATATTAGGCCTGCAATAAAGTGACATGTATATTCTAAGTGTTTTTTCAGCTTCATGCCAACAGCTATATGATGATCACTTTTAATGTCTGATGTGTAGGTTTATGAAGAGGCTATAGAAACTGTGCCTTCAGCCATGATGTTTACTTTGTATACAAAATTTTTGATGGATGTTATTGCTACAGAGAAGGGAGCAACTGAAGCTTCTAGTGTATCGAATCATATCTCAACTTGCATTTCCCAAATCTTGACAGCGTATGAAAAGGCTGAGTCAATGGAATGCCTTTCAGAAGAACTTGCTTACAATTATATTTCGTTTTATGTGCAAATTGGAAGATTAGATGAAGCCCAGAAACTGGCAGAAAATCTTTGCAGTGGAAATTTCTCAGGGTCAGTTCGCTTATGGGTTTTAAGGGTCTCATTGAAAGTAAGGTCTGCTACCAGGAATTCTCTCTCTATCAACAAGGATGAGAATCAATCCATCTTTGAACTTCTGAAAGGTGTTTTGACGAAAGTGCCAATAGCAGAAGCTGAGAGCTTGTGGCTTATGGTATTGTTACTAGTCACCTGACTCCTTATCTTTCTCTCTTGAACTGCTAATTACTAATTGGTATTTCTTTCGCTATTTGCTGTACTGTTTCTGAGATTGCCTTAGGCCTCACCACTGGTTCCATCCTTTCTCTCACTTTATGTCTCTCTTTGTTATCCATTACAGGCTCTCAAATTGTTTTCAAACCAAAAGAAGTATTTTGAGAAGCTGGTCGAGATTTCTCTCATATCAGTGGCTAAATTTGGTGGCAGTGAAAATGGATTTTCACTCCCTTCAACCATTGTTAATTTTGTTATTCAAAAGGATGGACTTCAACATGCCAGGGATACTTACAAACGGTATGTTGTTATGTCATGAGCTATCATTTTTTTATGAAATTAATGTCTTCAACCTGCATTTTGGCTTGTGAAGCCACTTATTTCAGATTCTTGACATTACATTTATATATTTAAATTCAAGAATAATGCTACTTCTGGTGTACAGAAGCTCCTAACTTTTTGAGTGTTGTTCAAAATGCAGATTTCTTGCTCTGCCCCATCCAGGACTTGCTCTGTATAGAGACTGTATTGAATTAGAGTCTAACCATGCATCTCTTGGTGACAAAGATTCTCTTGTAAATGCCAGAAAGTTATACGAAGCTGCACTTTCCACATATAACCAAAATGCAAGCTTGTGGAAAGATTACTATTCCATGGAAATGAAGGTGAGCTTTTTCATGCAACCCAATTTGGCTTATGATTCCACTGGTAGTTTCACCAGGGATAAATGTATTAACAAGGAACAGCTATGCCATTAATCCATCTTCCTGATCCTTTTGCAGTTTGGTACGTCTGGCACTGTCGCTGCTGTTTCCTGGCGGGCAAGGAAGACGCTGAAAGACTCTGCTATTGTATTTGATTCAACAAATCTATAATTCCTGTGTTACACATCCAATTTTGACCTTGTAATACTGCCAATTTGTTATTTATTTCTTTTCTTTCCTTCGAGAGGAAATTTCCAGTGCCTTGTATTGATCTATTTGAATGGTTTAACAGCGAAAAAATGAGAAATACAAATTGCTAAATTTAAGCATAATGGGTATTATGCTAATTTTAGGTGCATTCCTAAGTTACAACACTTTGAGGGACCAAATGCCTGGTAATGAATACTCTGCATAAATGGGATTTTTCTAAATACAGAAGCGATTCACTTAGACTCTTGGCCATTGTGGACTAACTACCTGCACAACACATTCAAATCGATTAGTGAAAAAAACCAACATATTTGATTAACCAAAACAAAGATAATATTTGCTCCAACCTCAAGTGTGCTAAAAGCTAATCGCATTCGGCTAGCAACGACTGATGGCTCCTCAGCACGTCCTACCACGGCCATTTGTTCGAGCTGGAGAGTCTTCACTGGAAGCCTTAGGTAAAAATAGAAATCTAAAGATTATAATCTAGAAAAGCAAAGTGATGCAAGGAAGGAGATTCTTCAAAAATATGCTGAGGCATCTCACCATGCCATTCCCCTCATGTAATATGCATTTGCTATGATAGCACAGAAGCCTTTCCATTGAACCAGTACTTCATCTGACACTGGAGGTGTGGATGACCACCTGACTATGGTTGGTTGTGGTGTACACAAAATGGTTATGAATATGATGCTCAACCACAAAATACACTCATCAACCTGCATCGTGAAGGAGAAAGACACTTTAAAAAGCTTAATTTTGTCTTGAATTTCTTCTCTTCAGCAAAGATTGCAATAACTCACCCTTGATTCTTAATTCAAAAAAACGAAAGCAGAAAGATGTAATTACTTTGCATGGAAATATAACAGTTTCTTAATGAAGTTATATTTGAGAATGTATCTCCAAGAACAAGAAGGAAACCAGTTACCTCCTCCGCAACAATCTGGGACTTTAAACTAGTCCCTCCACCATAACTTTGCATTGCTTCAATTTCAATGCCAGATTCCTTCATAGCATTGAGTTCTTTCCTTAACCCTTCATCAGTGCAACCCAATGCATATGCATTGACTCCAGCACCAATGAACTCCTGGTACACATCAACAAACAATATATTAGGAAGAAAGGCAACATAGCCAGCAACCTTTTATAATAACAAACTAAGAAAAACTACTGAATATACTTTTAAGTTGTCACCTCCTCCACGGTCAATGACATTCCTATATCGCCTAAACAAACTGATTGCTATATTGCGTGATGATCGGTACTCATCATCAGGCAAAACAGAACCATGTGATTGACACTGCATTCAGAACTACACAAAATCAACTCAAAATGAAAGGCCAAAATTTCAGCAAAAAATTGAAACAAAGCTCACCAGCAATCTATTGGATGCCACTCGCCGTGATACAATATGAGTTCCAACCCTATTCTGTTCCTTCCATGGAGAATATGAATCATAATACACTTCATGGTTACATACCCCCGATTGTCTATGATAAACAGCAGTACAACTAAAGGAATTCACATTCACATTTCTAATCTTGCCCGGATAAGCACTGTGCAGAGTATAATTACTAAGATATGATGAGCACAAGCTGATAGCTCCCGGTGGACACACCGTTAACATAGTTGAAACATACCATAGCCTTCAAAATTAAAAACAAAATCAAACTCGTTATTTTACGTATAGAACTCAATCCTACACCGATTCCAGAAAAAATTACAGATTTCCCAGTTATAAGTTTCTTGGATTAAAGATGGGAAATTTTGAATCAAAATAGAGACTTTGATGAATTACCTTATTGGGGTTTGGATGAAATCATCTTTCCGAGAATCTGTGGAGAAGCAGAACAAAGAACAAGGAGTATGCAAGTCGGGGTTTCTGAGATTTTGAGGAAGAATCTCCTTACGGATGTTGCAGACACCACGAATTTTTGTGATGGGTTGTCGCAGATTCGATTGGCTGAATGAAATTGAAAATACTGATCACAAGAAGAATGAAAATGAAAGATGAATCCAAAACTCACTTTGTTTTCTCGGGAAAATTTATGGCTGCAGGCCGCCGAGTGAATCACGACGTCGTAACTCCAACGTACGTCAATTCCGCATCAATATCGCAGCCAGAAGCCCCAGTAACGTTTATCAAAACGGCGTCGTTTGGTACTCAAATTCTTTGTCTTCTAGCGCCTTTAAATTAGTATATACATCCGATATTATTATTATTATTTTTTTAATGTTAACTGCGTAACGAAAAATAATATTTTTTTATTTTTTATCTCATTCGATCCACGTATTATACAATTTAAATTTAAAATTTTTTACTTTCAATAAAAAAAATTTATTATTGAATTATTTAAATAATTGACGTATTACATATTATAAGTAAACAAAAAAAATTAATTATTTAAATAATACATAAAATAATAAAAAAAATTATTTCTTAATCATTTTCTTGACCGAAGTACATGTTTAGATGAAAAGATACATTGGCTAGACGTGTTACTACAAAGAAAGAAAAGCTGCAATGAATAATAATGTGTCGCATTCCATTTCATTTAAAGTTTCTTGCAAATAGAGAAAGGATTTCAGTAGAGATAACAGAGGTCAAGTTTATTAAGAAAAAGGGAACTGAAACCAGTAACAAATCAGAAAATTTCCAGGTGTTATGGGACAGAAAGGAACTAGTTTGGCTTGTAATATTTAGTTGGGACAAATGGCATTTTTGTTACTGCTCCATCATAGGCCTTTCCTCTAATGATAATCTTAGCTTTGGTGCCTGCCTTGTGTAATCCAGATTTCACATATCCCATTGCTATGTTCTTCTTCAGGCAAGGGCTGAATCCTCCACTTGTGATTTCTCCGATGTTGTTCCCTTTCTCATCCTGAATCTCGCTGTGAGATCTTGGTGGCGGGCCAGTAGAGAAGAAGCCAACACGCCTGATTGATGGACCATCTGCTAGTTGTTTGAGAATCACATCAGCACCTAAGAATCCACCTTCTGCTCTCCTCCTCTTCCCAATGGCCCATGTCAGCCCAGCCTCTACGGGTGTTACGTGCTGTTCCATGTCATTGCCATACAGGCAGAGTCCAGCTTCAAGTCTCAGACTGTCTCGAGCTCCTAGTCCTGTTAACCTGATCTTCCCTTCAGATTTTTCCAAGATTGCCTTGGCAAGATCCACTGCATTTTCTGAAGGAACTGAGATCTCAAAACCATCCTCACCAGTATACCTTAAAAGAAAACAAAATAAAGAGATTTGAGTATTGGTTATCCTTCACAGCTCTTCTCACAATGAATAACACAAGCCATATATTTTCAAGCGAAAAAAGCCAAAGTCTAGTCACAGCATCTATCACATGTCAGATTTGCTACAGTCTATAGAGAACATGTTATTAGCCAAAATTTTATCATTAGTCCACTCATATTCAAGTTATATTGCAACTTCTTGGACAATTGGAAGTAACCGATATGAAAGCATACCCTGTCCTAGTGATGAAGCAGTGTGCACCATTGATATCCAACATTCGGAACTCCCCAAAGTAGATTTTGCTCAGATCCTCTTTTGTCAGATGTTGAAGAACTGGAGCAGCAAGAGGACCCTGCAGCAGAAAAGGGGAACAATTTTACCCTCATATACGTCTAAGGAGGAAATCAAAAGAACCATTCTAAACTAATTAACTTTTTCTGATGAAGCCTGTTTCATTCCCTCAACATAGCAGTTCAAATATAAATCTGCATAGCAGAATTAGCATCAAGCCATACAACTGTACTACATCAAACGGGATGACAATTAAACAGGATGACAAAGAACTGGCAGGGACAAGAGTCGGAAAAAAAAAAAAAGAAAAGAAAAGCACACAAAGCATAATATAAGCCAAAAGGTATAGGTAAGTCATGCCATTGATGACCAAAATTAGGACAGAGAATAGACAAGTCTGATGATTGACCTGAAGAGCCAGAAGAGATCTCTCATCATGGATGTGCCATGAGACATCCCCACCTTTGGCCTTGAATGCCTTCATATGCTCTTCAATGTGTGCTAGATCCTTATCCCTGCAGCCTGCATTCACAACCAGGTATATATGATCATCCTTCACTTTGGTGATGACTGAATCATCAATTGCCCCTCCCTTCTCATTTGTAAAGACAGTGAGGCTTCCAGTTCCAGGGGCAAGCCCAGCAACATCAGCAATGACTAGTTTCTCCAGGAATGGCACACAATCCTTTCCTTTAAGGCTCAGCCCACACATATGGGAGACATCAAAGAGGCCACCATTCTCCCTACAATTTACAGTAGAGTCCATGATAGAATCCTTATACTGAATAGGCATGCCCCATCCAGCAAACGGGACCATCTTTCCACCATTAGCAATATGGAAATCATAAAGAACAGTCTTCTTCAGATCAGCCTCTGAGGCAAAGTACCGACGTGCCACAGCCTTCTTATCAGCCTGAGCCAGACGGCGTGTGATTGATTGGCCAAGCTGCCAAAGACCCCCTCTCATCTTCTAAAGTCAAAATATCTGACAAACAAAATTTTAAAAAATCATTCAAAAATAAGAAATGACATCAACAAAGGTTTCCTAAGAACAAGTGGTCCTCTTTACTACCATGATAGTAAGGATCACATATGATTTTTGAAGAGAAATTGAACAATGAAATAGTCTGATAAAAAATATGCCCGTTATTAGTAAGTAGAAGCAGCATTGAGAAATTGGAACAAATTAACAACTAGCAATATCACCACCAACGGAAACGAGAAATCCTTTTTTGAGCAACAGGGTATCTACCACTCCCATGGAACTGAAACACAGCATTGTGCGTCATATGGTCTTTGTGCTCAATTGGCAATGAAAGAGATAACACACAAACAAAGATTAGAAAAATGGAAAAACATTATCATCTGTCAAAACCTAGAATTTCCTCATATTAAGTAACAGCAGCAATTGAATGCCATAGCAAAGACAGATTCACTTCACAGTCACCAATAGTTCAATAATCAATATATTCCAATTCAATGGTAGAACCAAACGTGGCATCACCTATCAGAACATCAACTGCACTTCTTTGCCAATCATAACCAAATATGAAGATAACCAGAAGGACAGTATACTGTGTACGTAATAGATAAAAATCTCACCAAAGAAAAATCAAGCCTTCAAGGAAAACCATCCTACCAAAACTTAAAGAGATGAACATTGTCCAAACAAAACATAATATTTTCCAGGAAAAAACCATCAATGCTAAGAAGCTGTCTAGATCTCCCATACCCATTCGCCAGACACCATAAGAGGAATTGAGGCAGCATCCCATCACACAATCCACAAAAACAATGATACCTACCTATAGAATATGTGAGTTACAATACAAGGAATACAAAACAAGAAAGAGTGAAATGGCTTACACAAACAAACTCTTCCTTCTGTTCTTCAAGAGAAAGCAAATCAGAGACCCCAAAAGCAAGTACCTTTGCCCTTGGAGATAGAAAAAAGGATAGACTTCTATATGGGTGTAGGTATTAAATCGAAAAGGGTATTAAAAAAAATTGATGGTTGGTGGATTGCGGTGGGTGGAGGAGGGTTTCTAAGCCAAATCTACAAACAGCCAACAAAACCACATCGTTAGCGAGTGGTGCTCGGACTCTGCCTCTACCAATCTCTGTCTCTTTCTGTTCGAGTGTTACTCATCTCCACTATGTCTCCGATGGACGTCCCATCACTTCAACCCACAGGCCACAGTTATCAGTTGTCATAGAAGGAGTTCTAGCCTCTGCCGTTCGATCTTGTCCAAGGTTAGAGATGTGGTCAAGTGGACCCTAAAAACGTGGGTTTTGATCAAACTATCGTGGAAATGAGTGCATTAGATTACAATCACTGACAGGGGAACCGAATTGGTGAGACATCAAGAATATTTTTACAAAAAAAAATGGAGAGAAAAATGGGGTTGGTGGGATTTGAGAGAGATTCCAATTGCTTTTGCTATTGGCTCATGAATTTTGGTTGCTGCAATATGCTCTAGCAAAAAGATGGAAGCTTTAGCATTGGTTGGTGGATCTGGAAACAGGAAATATCACATTGGCCATAGAGTTTTATACCCTTTTCAAAAAGGTTGCTCCTTTGGTATATTTTCTCGCATTAATCATTAAGGATTAGGGAAAATCATTGCAATTAAAATGTTAAAAATGATAATGACAAAATTAAAATACTTTTAATAGATGAACATAAAAAGAATTTATTAAAAGTATTTCAATAATTTAATAAGAAATTTTGATAATTAAATTATTATGATATTACATATGATCACTTTTCTCTTAAAATATCACTAATTGGCTAATTACCTCTACATTATAAGTTTATAATTATAATATTTAGTATATAATTGACTATTTTTTAAGAATATCACACTTATATATATTTATTAGTTTTATATAATTTCATTATTATTTACTTACAATACTATATAATATTATAACCATTCTCTGTATCATTTTCAAATCAAATTCAAATATATTTTTGCTTAACTTAGGAAAATAATTTAAGAATAAACTCTTTATATCACATTTTATATAATCTTATGTAATATTTAAATAATTAAATTTTTTTATTTATTTAAAACATCAAATATTAAATATATATTTATTTAATAATATATAAATATTATATAAAAAAAATAAAAAATTTATCCTTGTATCAAAACTTAAATGTCACGACTTTTTTGCAATCTCGCATATGGCCCAATGGTGGTCATGCTATCTATTGGACAGTAAGTGAAATACACTTAATTTTAAGGTTCGATCCTTCCTAATAACAAATACTAACACCTAATCTAACCATTTCTTTCTGTTAAAAAAAAAAATGTCACGACTCTTTTGGTCCGAGAATATGCTAGTACTTAGATTAGTACTTTTTTCGGTTAAATTTAATAAATAGTTTATTAATTATGTGATTTATTTTAGTTTAGTTTAGAAATAATTTTTTCTTTCAAAATGATCTATAAATTATCAATTTTATTTCAAAATGGTCTACTTGACAAACATTCCATTAACTAACTAATGAAATTCTTTCTCGTTGTTGACAAGCTACCTCTTAAACTTTTGAAAAATATTAAAAATAGTACGTATATTTTTATTTTTCACAACATTTTGTTTTTGAAATTTAAATTTTTTGTTAAATATAATAATTAACCAAGATAAAATTTCAATTTACATTCATTAAAATTCTAATTTTAATTTAAAACAATCAATATTATAATTTAAATTTTATTATTTCTAAAAAAATTCAATTTATTATTAAATATTAATATTTTTAATAAATAAA